GGCCCTCATCCTCATCCTTCACAGTAAGAGAATATCATATAGAACCCCTATGATAATTAAATCAAATTGTCTGCATAAAACTCTTAAAGTGGGGGGCTGGGAAGGTGGCTCAGTGGTAGAGGGCTTGCCTTGCATGCCCGAGGCCCTGGGTTCAATTCCTCAACACCACATAAGCAAAAAGAAAAAAAAGCCAGAAGCGGCGCTATGGCTCAAGTGGTAGAGCGCTAGCCTTGAGCTGAAGAGCTGAGGGACAGTGCCCACGCCCAGAGTTCAGGCCCCACAACCGGACCCAAAAAAAAACAAAAAACAAAAACAAAAAACTCTTAAAGTGGTGTCTGCCAAATAGCAAGTGCCCAATGAGTGTCAGTTATTAACCATGACCAATCAAGTGAGCGAAATTAAAAGTCTGGAACCAAAATGCCTGCACCAAATCCTGTATTTGCTATTAACTAGCTCTGTGACTTTGGCAACGTGGCTTCTTTTCTCTATCCTCAAATGCCCTCAGTTGTAATAGAGGGATAATGTCAGCCCAGTCAGACAGCCCAGCCTAACGGGGCTGTGCAAAATCCTGCTGAGACAATGTGCTTAAAGCATTTAATATCATGCCTGGTACAGAATCTTTCTCAATCTATTAGTCATTATGATCACTGATCACCATGGTAACCCAATAAATCTTTGTTATAAATGGAGCTCCAGGTAGTAAAAAGACCAACGTAAGGTCACATGCAACTAAGCACGATTTAACACCATTTGTGAGACAACAGTGTGTGTTCCATTTATACTCAGCCTTTAGCGCACGCGCACGCACATACACACACACACACACACACACGCGCGCGCGCGCCTCTATAGGCACTAGTTTTCTCCAGAGTCTCTGTTTTTGTTTGTTTGTTTTTGCTGGTCGTGGGGCCTGAACTCTGGGCCTGGGTGCTGTCCCTGAGCTCTTCAGCTCAAGGCTAGCACCCTACTACTTGAACCACAGCGCCACTTCCAGCATTTTCTGCTTATGTGGTGCTGAGGAATCGAACCCAGGGCCTCATGCATGCAAGGCAAGCACTCTACCACTGAGCCACTGTCCCAACCCCTCTCCAGAGTCTCTTGAGCTGGGTGCTGGTAGTCACAGCACCTATAATCCTAGCTACTCAAGAAGCTGAGATCTGAGGACCAGTTTGATACCAGCCTGGACAGGAAAATTCCTGAGACTCTTAACTCCAATAAACTGCCAAAAAAGCTGGAAGTAAAGCTGTGGCTCAAGTGGTACAGCACTATTCTTGAGCAAAAGAAGCTCAAGGACAGTGCCCAGGCCCTGAATTCAAACCCACGCGCGCATGCGTGGGCACACACGTGCATGCGTGGGCACACGCGCGTGCACACACACACACACGCACACACACAGGCACTCACACGAAACAAACAAAACTTAAAATAATCCTGTACATCTATCTAATATACCTTTGCCCATCTTTGGGATTGTGTTCATTACTCCTAGAAGTTAAATTGCTAAGTTAAAAAGTGTGCATATTTTTTAAATTATGAAAGATACAGGATTTTGAGACTGCTAAAGGAAACATAAGATTTAAGGACTGATCTCTAGTACTGAGTTCTCCCCTGCAGAGTCTCCACAGCCCTTCTATCATCCTTTGCCACAAGCACACCAGAGAGTGAGCTCAATGGAAGATTTTGAGTTTTTCTGACCTTCTCCAACCCAGGGCTGGTATCCTCAGCTTAAAAAAAAAAAAAAAAAAGACCAGATGCTGCCAGTGGTCAACCACAAAGTCAACAGAGCCTCTCCATCCTGCCTTAACCTCCTAAGCATCCTGGCGCTGGCCCAGTCTCACCCAGAAATTTCCAGTGGGCTCCAGCCTAACCATCTCCAAACACAAATCCAGAGTCACACTTTTAGCTTGCAAGAGGGAAAAGAGACACTGCCCAGCCTAGGGAGACTGATGACATCAGGACCTCCTGTCTCCTGGCTCCTGAGCAGGGAGATGAGAAACAATATCCAGAAGCTCAGGAGCTGGACCTGGGGGTTCATTCCTGCTGTTCCAACATTTAGTTCAAGGTCATTCCTTGAGATTTAGTCTCAAAAGAAGAAGAGAAAAAGGAAGGGAAGGGAGAGAAAAGAAAATGAGGAGGAAGAAGAGGGGGAAGAGAGGGGAAGGAAGAAAGAGAAGGAGGAGAAAGAGGAAAAAGGAGAGAGGGAAGAAAAGCTGCTTTGCTGCTGCTGCTCAGTCACACATGGCAATACACTCCAAAAGACCTGAGTGACCTTCAGTTAAACAAGGGAAAACTGGAGTTGGCATTGGTGCCTCATGTGTGTAATCCTAGGTACTCAGGAGGCTGAGATCCAAGGATAGAAGTTCAAAGCAGGACAGTCTTTGAGACACTCCCCTCCCTCCCATCCCCCCACCCCCCCCCCCCTCCGTTAGTCATGGGACTTGAACTGTGGGCCTGGGCGCTGTCCCTCCATTCTTCACCTCAAGGCTAGCTCTCTACCACTTGAGCCATAACACCACTTCTGATTTTCTGGTGGTTTATTAGAGATAAGAGTCTCACAGACTTTCCTGCCTGGGCTGGCTTTGAACCGTGATCCTCAGATCTCAGCCTCCTGAGTAGCTAGGATTACAGGCGTGAGCCACTGGCGCCCAGCCTCTTTGAGACTCTTATCTTCAAAAATGTACCCAAAGCTGGAAGTAGAGCCGTGGCTCACATGGTAGAGCACTAGCCTTGAACAACAACACAAAAAAAGCTCAAGGACAGTGCCTAGGCCCTGAGTTCAAGCCCCAGTACTGGTACGCACACGCGCGCACGCGCACATGTGCACACACACACATGCCCGTACACATACACACACACAAACACACACCTCTTTAGAAATGGTTTTGGAAGGGCTGGGAAGGTGGCTCAGTGGTACAGTGCTTGCCTTGCATGCATGAGGACCTGGGTTTGATTCCTCAGCACCACATAAACAGAAAAAGCCAGAAGTGGCGCTGTGGCTCAAGTGGTGGAACGCTAGCCTTGAGCTGAAGAGCTAAAAGACAGCGCCCAGGCACAGAGTTCAAGCCCCAAAACTGACAGAAAGCAAGCAAGCAAGCAAGAAATGGTTTTGGAGGAAGGGACTGATGGACTGGTGGGAAACAAAGTCATGGAGAGAAGTTATCGTTGCAAACCTGTCCTGAGCACTTTAACTGTGATTTCCTACCCTATCAGGAAAACATGAAGAAATGAAGTTCGGGACAACAGTGAAAGATTTGCCCAAGTACATAATGCCCAGAAAGTACACAACCAAATTCCTACACCTAAAAGATTAGGAAGCTAGTCCCCTAGTTTGGGCCCCTGCAGAGTGGGAGAAGAGAGACAATGAGAGCTTCTCTCTGCACCTGCACAGCCTCCTCCAGGGGGCTCATTTCCAAATGAGTTCCAATCCTTTCTTGCCTCCCAGGATTGGCATCTGACAGGCACCTGGAATTCCTTCTTTGTGTGCAATGCCTCCCAGGCCCCACCCGGCTCAGAGCCCCACCTCTTCCGGGGGAGGGGGGGGGACCACAGCAACAACAACTTGAGGCGCCAGGAGAATTCTCAGATTAGAATGACTCCAAAGTCACCTTGTCTCCACAGTTTGATTCCTCTCAGCAGGGCAGGAGGCCTGTAGCACTCTCAGCTCCTCGGGAGGCTGAGATCTGAGGATCCCAGATGGAAGCCAGGCCAGGCAGACAAATTCGGGACATTTTAAATATCCATTTAGCCAGCAAAGAACAACAAGCAGAGGCATGGCTCAAGTGGTAGAACATCTACCTGGAGGGGAAAAGCTTAGGGACAGCGCCCAGGCTGAGTTCAAGGCCCAGGACCGGCACACACGCGCGCGCGCACACACACACACGCTCGCGCGCGCATACACACACACGCACGCACACGCTCGCCCGCGCATGCACACACACACGCTCGCGCGCGCGCACACACACTCGCGCGCGCACACACGCACACACACACTCGCGCGCGCGCGCACACACACACGCTCGCGCGCGCATACACACACACACGCACGCACACACACGCTCGCCCGCGCATACACACACACGCACGCACACACGCTCGCGCGCGCACACACGCACGCGCGCGCGTACACACACACGCACGCACACACACACGCTCGCCCGCGCATACACACACGCACGCCCGCGCATACACACACGCACGCCCACACACGCTCGCGCGCGCACACACACACGCTCGCGCGCGCATACACACACGCACGCGCGCGCATACACACACACACGCACGCGCGCGCATACACACACACACGCCACGCGCACACACCCCTCCATTTGCCACAACCTCTCCACCCCCGCCCATCCATTATATGGAAACGAAAAGCCGCCGAGGAAGCACTTTGCAGGGAGACTCAGCCGCCGGGGGCGGGGAGGATGCTCGGGCCGGACGGCGCGTACGGAAAGCCCGGGCGCTCAGTTTCCTCAGAGGAACCAGGGAGTTCCCATTCCTCTCCCTAACAACTACGGGAGACGCGGGGGACATGGGAGGGCGGTGAGGGTTTCGTTTTTCATTTTAGGGAATCTGGAAAAAGGCAGCCGTTCCTGAGGAATAAACACCCTTTCCTTCTTTTCACTACGTTAGCCACCCCAGACCAGCCCTGAGACCCTTTCTAGAAGCTTCCGGTCTCTCCACGAGTTTTTCTCCGCCCCAACAGAGGCCAGGACAAGTTGGGCCCTTCTTATTGGCTAAATTCCCTGTCAGTCATTCCGCGATGCCTCAATGTAGTGCGTTTCTGAACTCCTCGAGTCCGGCCTCCCTGACCCACACGGTTCATTCCAACCGGCGAGCTTCCTCAAGCTTTTCATTGGTGCATGTAAAAGTCCCATTGCGATTGGTTCTTCTAGACTAAGCCCGGTGAGAGCGAGCCAGTGATTGGCTTATCTGATTTGGGCGGGCAGAAGAGATTTCAAATGAAACGAGAGGCGCTCTTTTTAACCGACGCGCGGCGGCTGTGGAGAAGAGCGGTCCGGAGTCGCGTCATCCCTTGGTGGAGCAGTGGGTTTCGTAGTTTGTGTGCTTTTTTTCGGGGTTCTCGAGACTCTTTACGACCGTCACTATGGAGGTGTCGCCGCTGCAGGTACAGCTCGCGGCAGGGGTCGGGCGGTGGCGCCTCGGTGGGTCTCTCCGTGGGTGAGGGGAGAGGCTCGCGGGGACCGCGACGGGCCTCGCGTGTCCCGGGCCGGGCCGTGTGGGAGTCGCCGAGTGGGTGAAGCCCCTTCCGGTACTAGCAGTGAAGTACAATTGCTGAGTGGGGATATTGAGTGCGGTTTTGCTGTGTCTTGTTCCTCCGGGGTGGGGTTCAGTTGGTCCCCTAGCAGGCTGTGAACCTGGGGGTTGACTGTCGCCCATCTTGGAAGTTCGCGAGGCTGTGGCGCAGTGCCCCCGCTGAGCACCCGGCGAACCCCAGGGGTCCGGGAGACGGCCCTCCTGCAAGTTAGTAGCACCACCCCCCCCAACTCCCCCTGCACTCACGTCGGCTACCCAGCAGAGATATTTTTTTTTTCTAATGCCTTTATTTCGCCGGTCGCTGGTGGTTTGCGCCTCTAGTTTTAGCTACTCAGGAGGCCGAGGTCCAGGGGATCATGGTTCGAACCCAGCCTGGACAGGAAGGCCTGTGAGATGCATTTCTATAGCCACCAAAATCCGAAAGTCAATGATAAGAGTACCAGCCTTGAGTGAAAAAGCTCAGGGATAGTACCCAGGCAGGCCCTGTTCAAGTCCCAGTAAGAGCCTGCGCTCACACACACACAGTCTTTATTTCAAACAGACACCTGGGAGCCTGGCTCCAGTGAACCTCAAATTCCTGATTTTTCAAAACTATATGAACTTCACCAATACTGCCAGGTTGCAAATCCTGAGGTAGTGTGTTGAAGGGCATCAGCATAGTAAGAGTCTTGACTATCACTTCTGATTAACTTATGGTTTTTTTTAAAAAAATCTTTCTTTTTAATGGCTAGCCTTTAAGTGAAAATATGCAAATGAACAAAAAGAAAAATGAAGATGCTAAGAAAAGACTGTCTATTGAAAGGATCTATCAAAAGAAAACACAATTGGAACACATTTTGCTCCGCCCAGACACCTACATTGGATCTGTGGAATTAGTGACCCAGGTAAAAAAATCAAGCCAGTTAAATGCAATTTAACTTAATAGCTGAAATACTCTGCCAGGTTAGTTTTCTTTACTTTGTGCATTGATGTCACTGGAACTGGCCTATCCTCACACACACACACACATTGTAGTATTTAGGAAATTTTACAGTAATGACAAAATAATAAATATAGCATAAAAATAATCATTTCTTTGCCTCATTCTAGCATTTGTGGGTTTATGATGAAGAAATTGGCATTAACTATAGAGAAGTCACTTTTGTTCCTGGTTTGTACAAAATCTTTGATGAGATTCTAGGTAAGTTCATGCATATAAAAATCCTTAAGAATATCATTTATACCAAAACTTCTAACAAGAGCTCCTGACTGGGAATATCTAGCATACATGCTAGATGCATGAAGCCCTGGGTACAATTCCTCAGTACCACAGAAACAAAAAGCCAGAAGTGGCACTATGGCTAGCCTTGAGCAAAAAGTTCAGGGACAGTGCCCAGGTGGAGTTCAAGCCCCAGGACTGGCAAAAAAAAAAAAAAATCTGTCATTTTACACAATTAGTTGTTGAATAAAGAAGTCAGCCAGGCATAGATGGCTCATACTTATAACCTTAGCTACTCAGGAGGCTGAGATTTAAGAATCCTGGCTCATAGCCAACCCAGGTAGACAAATCTATCAGACTCTTAACCTCCAATTAACTAGCAAAATCCTGGAACTGGTGATGTGTCTCCAGTGATAGCTGTGACCAAAAAAAACTAAGCCTAAGTTCAAGTCCTAGTACCAGCACTACCACTACTATCCCCTCTACCCCCTGCCCAAAGTGAGCCAGTCTACTGCAGTCCAAGAAGTTAAATTTTTCCATATAAATCATTCTATAAACAAAATTGGTAATTTTTAACATCTTGTTAATGCTACTTTATTATTAGGGAATATTTTCCTTATGCTGTAGAGTTTGTGTGTTTTAAAACATTTTCATTTTTCTTTCAGTTAATGCTGCCGATAATAAGCAAAGGGACCCCAAAATGTCTTGTATTAGAGTCACAATTGACCCGTATGTATTAGTATTTTGTTTATTATAGTTCATTGTTATTGTTGTATTTACTTCGATTTGAGGAAAAATGGCTATTTTTGTAAGATACAAGAATACAGAAAAGGAGAATGCTAAAATGAGTAGTCTGTGGGCACTTGCCACCAAGTTCTAACAGTGGTTAATATTCTCATATTTAATCTCATTTGTTTTCCCGAATTATTTCAAAATAATGTGCAGATATGATGACAAGGCCTAAATAATATGGGCAGCATCTCTAGAAATTGAGCTTGAATAAAAAGCATTCAGGAATCTAGAGTTTAAGCTTTTTTTCATGTTATTCAAATAGTAAGCCAGCAGGTGGTGGTAAAGAATAACGTGATCTAGCATTTCTGGTTTTAAATGCTAGTGTTTATTGGTGAGTGGTCAGATGACTTGTTTCACCTTTTTCACTAGCCTAGTCAGTTAGAATAAACTATGATCAAGACTGAATGTGTCAGTGATGGTTAATATACTGGAATGCTCCTCCTCAGGAGCATATCATCTTTCAAGAAATATTTTGCTGGCTGGGCACTGGTGGCTCAATCCTAGCTACTCAGGAGGCTGAGATCTGAGGATCACCATTCAAAGCCAGCCCAGGCAGGAAAGTCCATGAGACTCTTATCTCCAGTTAACCAACAGAAAAGGGCAAGTGGCACTGTGGCTCAAGTAGTAGAGTACTCACCTTGAGCTAAAGAGCTGAGGGACAGTGCCCAGTCCAGAGTTCAAGCTCCATGAATGACCAAAAGAAAAAAATATTGAGCTAATTTTAATTGTTCTTTTCATAGATAATATTAATCCAACATTGCTATTTGAAATAAGAACTATAGCGTGTGCCCTATCAAAACTAAAATGTATTGTTGTCTAAGACTCTAAAATATCCTAGAGACAAGTCCAAGTAAGATTTCAACATTTTATTAGCAAGTCAGGCAGCTCATAATGGATAATGTTCTTCCGTTTATCTATTTTTGCAAAATGCATATTTGGATAGGAAAGGTAAAGGAACTAGGGATATTGGCAGATGGTACTATTAGACATGTTCTAGTATTTTTCCAACTTTTGTCCTTTCCGCTGAGCATAATTTCCTTTGTTTATCCCAACATTTAAAATTTTGTATTTTTTCAACATTATCAGTGTCTACCCAGGTGTTGGAAAAGGTTTCTCCCCACACCCTCTCCTGGTTCCTATTTCAGTAGTGTCAGGAACTAAACATGGTGGAAAAGACTGTAAGCAAAAATACATATGAAAAGAGTCATAATAAAATTGAGGCTTGTGAATTTAGGTATGCTAGAAATAATAGCATTTAAATATTTTAAAATATTAAACAGTTTAGCAGTTTCTATATAATAAATTTTCAATCTTTTTTTAGGGAAAACAATTTAATTAGTATATGGAATAATGGAAAAGGAATTCCTGTTGTTGAACATAAAGTTGAAAAGATGTATGTTCCTGCTCTCATATTTGGACATCTCTTAACTTCCAGTAACTATGACGATGATGAAAAGAAAGTAACAGGTACAGTCTATTGAAAGAAACTAAGAGCTTATTTGCTGCTGTAAAAGAAAAATCTGTTTAATGTCTATCTATGGCACAAGGGTTAATATACAGGGGAAAAGCCAGGCGCTGGTGGCTCACACCTGTAATCCTGGCTACTCACGAGGCTGAGATCTGAGGATCACAGTTCAAAGCCAGCCCTAGCAGGAGAGTCCGTGAGACTTTTATCTCCAATAAACCACTCCAAACAGGAAGTGGTGCTGTGGCTTAAGTGGTAGAGTGCTAGCCTTCAGCTGAAGAGCTGAGGGATAGCTCCCAGACCCAGAGTTCAAGCCCCATGACCGACAAAAAAAAAAAAAAATACAGGGGGAAAAGAAACCTAAATAAAGTATGGAACTCAGCCTGTATAATTGAATAGCCTTGCGAGTATTAAGAAATAAAGCCAGTGCTCATGCATATAATCCTAACAACTCAGGAAACTGAGATGTAGAGGATCCAAAGTTTAAAGGCAGTATAGGGAAGAAAGTCCATAATACTCCCATCTCCAAAATAACCAAGCATTTGGGGTTGGAGGCGTGGCTCAGGTGGTAGGGTGCATGCCAATGAGTAGAAAGCAAGTTCCAATTCAAGTCCTGTCTAGGACTAAAGAGAAAAAAACAAAATAACCAAGCATTGCTCAAATCAGAGAATACTAGATGAGCAAACAAGCTGAGCAGGCACAAGGCCCTGGCTTCAAACCCCAGTAGCAGAAATTTTTAAAAAGAGAGAAAAAGAAGAAAAGAAAGCTGTTAATGAGATAACAAATATATACCTGTATCTCTCTCTATATATATGGTAACAAAAATATTTACTTGTTCAGGTGGTCGAAATGGCTATGGAGCCAAATTGTGTAACATATTCAGTACCAAATTTACTGTGGAAACAGCCAGTAGAGAGTACAAGAAAATGTTCAAACAGGCAAGTAAATAGATATTTTGTACCTTGATTATAAACTAATGTAGCTACTTATGTCATTAATGGTTGTTTAACATTTATAAGCTATTAAATGAGAAATAGCTCATGGCGTATACTAGGTTGTATTTAAATTTTTCACATTTGTATTTTATGTTTTCTATTCTTCTATAGACATGGATGAATAACATGGGGAAAGCTGGTGAGATGGAGCTCAAGCCCTTTAGTGGAGAAGATTATACATGCGTCACCTTCCAGCCTGATTTATCCAAGTTCAAAATGCAAAACCTAGACAAAGATATTGTTGCACTAATGGTTAGAAGAGCATATGATATTGCCGGATCAACTAAAGATGTCAAAGTCTTTCTTAATGGAAATAAGCTTCCAGTGAGTATTATCTGGTGCTAGGGCTTAAATTCAGGGTCTGAGCACTGTCCCTTAGCTTTTTTGCTCAAGGATCGCACTCTACCACTTGAGCCACACCTCTACTTCTGACTGTTAGATCTATTCTGCATAGGCTGGGCTCAAACCTTAATCCTCAGATATCAGCCTCCTGAGTAATTAGGATTATGGTGTGATACACCAGCATTTGATCATATATGTATATATATGTATACGATCAAGTCTTACAGTCTAGCTTTAGTCAAAACTTTCTTCCTGATCACTTAAACCTTTAGTAGCCTTTTAGTTTCTTTTCTTTTTTGCCAGTCCTGAGGCTTGAACTCATGGCCTGGACACTGTTACTGAGCTGCTTTTGCTCAAGGTTAATACTATACCACTTGAGTTACAGCACAACTTCCAGCTTTTTTCTGTTTATATGGTACTGAGGAATTGAACCCAGGGCTTCATGCATGCTAGGCAAACACTCTACCACATTCCTAGCCCTGGTCATTTTTCTTATCATTTCTCAGATAAGTTTCTGAAAAGAAATTAATACCAGATTTCTTTTTTTTTGGGGGGGGTTGCAGTCGTGGGGCCTGAACTCTGGGCCTGGGCGCTGTCCCTCAGCTCTTTAGCTCAAGGCTAGCGCTCTACCACTTGAGCCACAGCGCCACTTCCGGCTTTTTTTTTTCTTTTTGCTTATGTGGTGCTGAGGAATCAAACCCAGGGCCTCAGGCATGCAAGGCAAGCACTCTACCACTGAGCCACCTTCCCAGCCCCGAAATTTCTTATTTTTAAATCAGTTCATTTTAACATACTAAAATTTTCCTCAGAGAAACACTTTTGTGCACTTTAAATGAACATTAGCCCGTCAGTGAGCATCATTTCATTAGTTTCAAAAATTCTTCATCTATTTTTTTGCTCTATTTTTATGAGTGGTTTTTTTTTTAATATCATTATGTTGAACTCCTCTACAGGTGAAAGGATTCCGTAGCTATGTGGATATGTATCTGAAGGATAAGTTAGATGAAACTGGCAACCCATTGAAAGTAATACATGAACAAGTAAACCACAGATGGGAAGTGTGCTTAACAATGAGTGAAAAAGGATTTCAGCAAATTAGCTTTGTCAATAGCATTGCTACTTCCAAGGTAATTTTATAATGTATTCTTACTGTTTTAATAAATAATAATGTTAAATGGAGTTGGGTAACGGAAGCTTCATTTTTTAAGTTTTGATTATTGTAATTTTGAGAACAGTTTTACAGTGTGATAACTTTTCTTCATTAGGGTGGCAGACATGTTGACTATGTAGCTGATCAGATTGTGAGTAAACTTGTTGATGTCGTGAAGAAGAAGAACAAGGGTGGTGTTGCAGTAAAAGCACATCAGGTATGGTATTTTAGCATTTCTTTCTTGTTCTAAAGTTAAGGAAGAGTAAAGCCTATAAGTAAAGCATAGTACATTTTAATGAGTATGTCAACTTTTATTGCAGGTGAAAAATCACATGTGGATTTTTGTGAATGCCTTAATTGAAAACCCAACTTTTGACTCTCAGACAAAAGAAAACATGACTTTACAAGCCAAGAGCTTTGGGTCAACATGTCAATTAAGTGAAAAATTCATCAAAGCGGTGAGTACTGAGAGGGAAATAACAGAAGTATCTCACTTTATTTTTCATTATTTTTCTCAGCTTTGCAGAAATAAGGATTCCTCCCAAACTTCTCCAAATCTTCCTAATCTGTTTTTTTTTTTTTTTGCTTTATTTTGTTTTGTTTGTTTTTTGTAACAGGGTGTCCCTATGAAGACCACATTGGTCTTAAACTTACTATGTAAGTTGGTGGCGGGCCTCCAACTTGTTATTCTCTTGCTTTAGCCACCCAAGTGCAAAACTGAAGGTATATACAGCCACACCAAGTCAAGCCCTAATTTGAAAAGGAAGGGCTTTTTGTTTTGTTTTTGTTTCTTAAAAGCCTTTTATTTCACTAGTCTTCCTTAACTTTATAGAGTCCTTAACAATCAGCATGCCTGTAATTCCCCGGTACATACAAACTGAACTAGTTATCTCCATATTCATTGACCCTCTTTACAAGGAACCTCTTTCTCTCCAACCACAAAACTATTTCCTATCTTAGTTAAAAAGCCACTGGGGTCTAGCTTCTCTTGAAATCTTTCCTTTTTTTTTTTTTTTTTTTTTTTTGTGCCAGTTCTAGGGCTTAAACTCAGGGACTGAGCATTGTACCTGAGCTGCTTTTTTTGCTCAAGGCTAGTACTCTACTACTTGAGCCACAGCACCGCTTCCAGCTTTTTCTGTGTATGTGGTACTGAGGAATTGAACCCAGAGCTTCATGCATGCTAGGCAATCACTCTACCTCTAAGCCACATTACCAGCCCTTTCTTGAAATATTTTAATGACTTCTACTCAAGAAAGTCCAAAATAGGGGCTGGGAAGGTGGCTCAGTAGTAGGGTGCTTGCCTTGCATGCTCGAGGCCCTGGGTTCAATTCCTCAGCACCATATAAGCAAAAAGAAAAAAGCCGGAAGTGGTTCTGTGGCTCAAGTGGTAGAGCGCTAGCCTTGAGCTGAAGAGCTGAGGGTCAGCGCCCAGCCCCAGAGTTCAGGCCCCACGACCGGACCCAAAAAAAAAAAAAAAAAAAAAAAAAAAAGTCCAAAATCCATTTTCCTCAGTAAAGCCTTTACTTTCTACCCTTACCTCCAGCTAATAAAATATTGCACCCATACTATTATTATTACTGTTATGCACCAAACATCTTACTTAATCATAATTTGGCATTATGCTTGTAATTTCTTATTATCTGTCTTCCATATTATAACTTCTAACTCCATGTGGACAAAGTTTAATGACTACTTTGCTATAATCATTGTATTTAACTAAAGTCTTCAACAACTAGCTTAGTGTCGACACAATAAAAGAACATAGAAAATACTTATTAAATGGATGAACCAAAAGGAATCACCTTCCTCATGTTAAGGGAAAACCCAACATGGGAATATCGAAAGATATTATTCTACCTCTTTTTTCAGTCTTTGGATTGTTTATTTTCCTGGGAGCTTGCTTGTATTCTAGATTTGGTAGAACTCTTCTTTCCCAATATGAATCTTTTTGTTCTCAGGCAACTGGCTGTGGTATTGTAGAAAGCATACTAAATTGGGTGAAGTTTAAGGCCCAAGTCCAGTTAAACAAGAAGTGTTCAGCTGTAAAACATAATAGAATCAAAGGAATTCCCAAACTTGATGATGCCAATGATGCAGGTACACTTTCAATGCTTTCCATACTTTGCATGGGTATTTTTTCCAATTTCCTGTTATTGACCACTTCAGTCATTTTCAATTTGGAGCTGTTATAAATAATATTGAGATGATTTGGGTAGGGATATAAAAGCAAGAATATTTATACATGGGCTGGGAAGGTGGCTCAGTGGTAGAGCGCTTGCCTTGCATGCCTGAGGCCCTGGGTTCGATTCCTCAGCACCACATAAGCAAAAAGAAAAAAGCCGGAAGTGGCGCTGTGGCTCAAGTGGTAGCCTTGAGCTGAAGAGCTGAGAGACAGCGCCCAGACCCAGAGTTCAGGCCCCACGACCGGACCCCCCAAAAAAAAAATATACAATGACTTCTTACCTAACAAATATTTTTGATACAATACGATTATATGACTGCTTATTAGGAATAAAAATATTGTGAGAAATTAAGAAACTAGCCAGGTGCTGGTAGCTCACTTCTGTAATCCTAGCTACTCAGGAGGCTGAGATCAGAGGATCACAGTTCAAAGCCAGCCCAGGCAGGAAAGTCCGTGAGATAAGTGAGATTGTGTGAGGTTTCATCATAAAACTCCAGCTGGGAAGGTGGCTCAGTGGTAGAGCACTTGCCTTGCATGTCTGAGGCTCTGGGTTTGATTCCTAAGCACCACATAAGCAAAAAGAAAAAAACCAGAAGTGGCGATGTGGCTCAAGTGGTAGAGCGCTAGCCTTGAGCTCAAGAGCTGAGGGACAGCACCCAGGCCCAGAGTTCAGGCCCCACGACTGGACCCAAAAAAAAAAAAAAAAAACAGTGCCAAATTCAAAACTTAATAGATTGTTTGTTTTTTACATTTTCCATCTAAATTTTTGAACCAGTTGATCATGATAACTAAGACTGCAAAAAAATGAAGCTCAGTATTGTATTTTATACTTTCTGTATATCTAATTATTACTGATTCCATTTTACTCCTAAACCAACACCAAATTATAAATTATCTGTGTTTTGGGCTCTTGCCAGGATGTCTGAGTTAGTATATTTGAGATTGAGCTAAAAGTGCTAAAATTAATTTGTGTATTTTTCTTTTAGGGAGCCGAAACTCTACGGAGTGTACACTTATCCTGACTGAAGGAGACTCAGCCAAAACTTTGGCTGTATCAGGCCTTGGTGTAGTTGGGAGAGACAAATATGGGGTTTTCCCTCTCAGAGGAAAAATACTCAATGTCCGAGAAGCTTCTCATAAACAGGTAGAATATAAACTATCTTTAGAATCTGAATCCCTGGCTATTGATATAACTCAATTGGTAGGATGCTTTCCTAATATATACAAAGCAGAGGTTTAATCCCCTGAACTGCAAAAAAAAAAAAAAGTGGAGGAATCTAAATCTAGTTTATGATGCAGTGCTCTATGCTTGTATTCCATGCCCTCATTGAACATTTTGAAATATATCTTAGATTTCTGCCTTTTAAGAAATTGTGTGTACTTTAGCATACAGAAAGCTTTAGGTTTGGTTCGCAGCACATTGGGCAACATATAGAGCTGGTCTTCTTCTGCTTGAGCCACACTTCCAGTTTTAGCTTTTTGCTGGTTAAAGAGATACTTTCAGGATTTGTCTCCCTGGGCCATCCCTGAACTTCAGTCCTCAGACTCTTCTGAGTACTTAGGATTATAGATGTGAGCCACCAGTACCTGTCTATCTTTATAGACCTTTCTGGCTTGTTAAAGTATATTCAAAATACTAGAGTTCAAAAGAAAACTCAAGAAACATATAGTGTCTTATTTCTTTGGTGTTTTCAATTTTATAAGCAAAACTATTTATTTTTTGATACCTAATATATCCACTTCAGATCATGGAAAATGCAGAAATTAACAATATCATCAAGATTGTTGGTCTTCAGTATAAAAAAAACTATGAAGATGAAGATTCATTGAAGACTCTTCGTTATGGAAAGATAATGATTATGACAGATCAGGTCAGATTTATTTTAGATTGTTAAATTAAATGTGTTATAGTTTTGAGATGATCACACTATTTTGCCCCACTATTTAGTCTGAATCTCATGTGTAAATACAATCCTCAGTTTCTTGACTGTGTACAAACCTATGCAACTACCTAGGCATCTTTTATTGACTACTTTTCTGCAATAAAAGAAATATTAGTAGGAGATTGATTTATCCCCAATCAATGCCTAATTAGATACTCATATTACATTTACAGGTTAGATTTAAGTTTTTGGTATGTGTTCCAGTCCTGGTGCTTAAACTCAGGGCCTAAGAGCTGTCCATGAGCTCTTTTTCTCAAGGCTAACATTCTAGCTCCACTTCCAGCTTTTTTGTTAGCTAATTGGAGGTAAGATTCTCACAGACTTTCCTGCCTGGACTGGCATTTAACCTTTATCCTCAGATCTTAGCCTCTTGAGTAGCTAAGATTACAGGCAAGAGCCATAGACACTTGGCTTGGACTTACTTTTAAATAGCCTTTTGTTGGTTGACTCAGGGTTTTAATATTTAACCTAGACAGGCATCAGACTTGTTACTCTCCTGACTTCTAAAATTGCAGGCCTGTGTTACCACACTTGTGAAATAGCCTCTCTGTCCAACCCCTGTAGAACAATTTTTTAGAAATTACTAGTAAATCAATCCTAATTCATTTAATTTCTAAATAATTCTTTTGTACTTTGACTTTTCAAATATTTCTAGGACCAAGATGGTTCCCATATCAAAGGTTTGCTAATTAATTTTATTCATCACAACTGGCCCTCCCTTCTGCGACATCGTTTTCTGGAGGAATTTATCACTCCCATTGTGAAGGTATACTAATTTCTAGGATACAAAAATAGATATTCTGAGGCACAGCTGCTCAGTCCTGGTAATACAGATAACTCTTGGGTAGTGTAATAGTGGACAGGGGAGCCCATATTGTACAGAGTTAAAACAAAGTCTTCTTTATCATAGGTGTCTAAAAACAAGCAAGAAATGGCATTCTACAGCCTTCCTGAATTTGAAGAATGGAAAAGTTCTACTCCAAATCATAAAAAATGGAAAGTCAAATATTACAAAGGTTTGTAATAAAACATAAAAATTCTTATTTTGAGCGCTGGGAATGTGGCTTAATGGTAGAGTGCTTACCTAGCATGCATGAAGCCCTGGGTTTGATTCCTCAGTACCACATAAACAAAATAATCTGGAAGTAGAGCTTTGGCTCAAGTGGTAAAATGGTATCTTTGAGCAAAAGAAGCTCAGAGACAGTGCCCGGGCCCTGAGTTCAAGTCCCAGGACTGGCAAAAAGAAAAAATTTCTATTTTGATAGGTCCTATTATACAAGATTAAATGGCTGAATGATATTTTGATTTTGTAGGTTTGGGCACCAGCACATCAAAAGAAGCTAAGGAATACTTTGCAGATATGAAAAGACATCGAATCCAATTCAAATATTCTGGACCTGAAGATGATGCTGCAATCAGCCTGGTAAAATTGAGTTATATAATGAAAAATCACTACGTCAGCCAATGTTTCCAGTAAACATGTCCTAGAGAAGGAATTGGATATTTTAAAAAGCAGGATTTTTGTTGTTTCTTTTAAAAGATATTTTGGCTGGGTGTTGGTGGCTCACACCTGTAATCCTAGCTACTGAGGAGGCCGAGATCTGAGGATCTGGGTTAGAAGCCACCCTTTGCAGAAAAGTACATAAGATTCTTATCTCCAATAAAGTACTCAGAAAATGCCAGAAGTGATGCTGTAGTTCAAGTGGTAGCCTTGAACACAGAGGCTCAGAGACAGTACCCAAGTCCTGAGTTTATGCCCCAGGATTGGCAAAAACAGAGAGAGATTCTGGAACCTTTTGGGTAATGGTGACATCTTTTTCATCTTCTAATTTGTAGGCTTTTAGCAAGAAACAGATAGATGATCGAAAGGAATGGCTAACTAATTTTATGGAGGATAGAAGACAACGGAAGTTACTTGGCCTTCCTGAGGTAAACATTTTAAATGTATCCCATAAAGTGTGCTATTCAATTTATCTTTTAGGATTGACATTATAGCAAATTAAAACTTACATGAAGTTATTTAAGTAAAAAAAATCAATATAATAACCATAGCCACGTACCATATAAGTGTTTCAAACAATGATGGACTACACATATAAGTGATCCTGTGAAGTTTTTTAAAAGCCAAAAAAAAATCTTAAAGTCATGAGTAATACTTTGTAATAATAAACTTGATTTATCTTTAAAACAAAATGGGCTGGGCATCAGTGTCTCATACCTGTAATCCTATCTACTCAGGAGGTTGAGATTTGTGGATCATGGTTCAGAGCCAGCCTGGGCAAGAAAGTCTATGAGATTTCTCTCCAATTAACCACCCAAAAAATGCTGCAAGTGGAACTGTAGCTCAAGTAGTAGAGCATAATTCCTGAGAAAAGAATCTCGGGCAGAGCCCAGACCCTGAGTTCAAATCCCAAGACTAGCGTGCACGCACACACCCATGCACACAAGAAAAAGATTCTGCATAATTAAATTTTTGAGGGTCTTAAGTATAGTGGCTGAACACTGGTGCCTCATGCCTGTAATCTTCTCTACTCAGGAGGCTGAGATCTTAGGGTCACAATTCAAAGCCAGCCCAGGCAGGAAAGTCCGTGAGACTCATCTCCAATTGACCACCAGAAAACCAGAAGTGTTACTATGGCTCAAAGTGGTAGAGCACTCTCCTTGAGCTCAAGAGCTCAGGGACAGCACCCAGGCCCAGAGTTCAAGCTCCAGAACTGATTTTTTTTTTTAAAAAAAAGGCATATAGTGATTTCCTAAGCTTTTTTGTTAAATATTGTTAAGACCCATGTTTTATTTTAAGCTAGATCATGTGATACTATCTTGGTCCCCTAGGATTATTTATATGGACAAACTACCACTTATCTGACGTACAATGACTTCATAAACAAGGAACTTATCCTGTTCTCAAATTCTGATAATGAGAGATCTATCCCATCTATGGTAGATGGTGAGTTATGATTTGTTAATCTGTTTTTAAAATATAAATTAATACTCAAAAATTGTTAAATTGAGGATACTAATGATTGTTCTTTCATTTTAAAGGTTTGAAACCAGGTCAGAGAAAAGTTTTGTTTACTTGTTTCAAACGGAATGACAAACGAGAGGTAAAGGTTGCCCAGTTAGCTGGGTCAGTGGCAGAGATGTCCTCTTATCATCATGGTGAGGTAAATACATGATCTGTTATGTTTTCAGAAAGCATTATAGCATAAAGTATTGCACAGTCCTTCCCTAAACATATTTGATGCAAGTCTAAGCTGCTATATATAGTTAAAAAAACAATTTGGTAAAACTTACCAAACTGTAAAATGTAATTACCCTTTGACCTAACAATTATATTTCTAAAACAACATCCCTATAAGAATCTATATTTATGGTTGGGAAGGTGGCTTGTGGTAGAGTGCTTGCCCAGCATGCATGAGGCCTTGGGTTCAATTCCTTAGTACCATATACACAATAAAGGCTGGAAGTGTCATTGTGGCTCAAGTGGTAGAGTGCTAGCCTTGAACAAAAGAAGTTCAAGGACAGTGTCCAGACCCTGAGTTCAAGCCCTAGAACTGGCAAAAAAAAAGAATATGTTTATTGATAGTTAATATAATTTCATTATGTCAAAATGTAGGCATCCAAAATGAATATTTACTGTTACAAAATTGTGATGTGTATGTGTATGGAATCAAAGACAAAACTTAAAATTGTGTACACTAATTTTGGTTTATAGGCATTATCCATTGGCAGGTGTAAAATAAAAGAGGTGGGAAATACTTAAAATATGAAGAAGGGCATACCCCAAATTGTTGACTTTTTAGATGTAACTGAATTGTTTGGCTTTACATGAATGTATATTGGTTATTTTATGATTGAACTGTTCTTAGTGTTTTTGATTTTGTTTTGTTTTATGTTGGTCCTGGGCCTTGAACTCAGGACCTAGACACTGTTCCTGAACCTTTTTTTCCCCCACTTTTGGCCAGTCATGAGGCTTGAACTCAGGGCCTGGACACTGTCCCTGAGCTTTTTCACCCAAGGCTAGTGCTCTATGACTGTGAGCTACAGCACCATTTGTGGTTTTCTAGTGGCTAGTTGGAGATAAGGGTCTCATGGGGACTTTTCTTGGGCTGGCTTCAAGCCAGGATTCTCAGATCTCATCCTCCTGGGTAGCTAGGATTACAGGTGTGAGCCACCAGCACCCGGCTTCTTTTTTTGTGTGTGTTTTTTGTTTTTTGTTTTTGGTCCAGTTGTGGGGCCTGAACTCTGGGCCTGGACGCTGTCCCTCAGCTCTTGAGCTCAAGGCTAGCGCTCTACCACTTGAGCCACAGCGCCACTTCCGGCTTTTTTCTTTTTGCTTATGTGGTGCTGAGGAATTGAACCCAGGGCCTCATGCATGCAAGGCAAGCGCTCTACCACTGAGCCACCTTCTCAGCCCAGCACCTGGCTTCTGTGTGACACTTTTTTTTTTGTTTTGGAGGGGGTTTTTGATGATAAAGCTTGAACTCAGGACCTGCCCACTCTCCCTGCGCTTTTTCACTGAAGGCTAGCACTCAACCACTTTAAGACACAGTTCCACTTCCATTTTTCCTGTGTAATTAGAGATAAGAGTTTCACAGACTTTCCTGCCTAAGCTGGCTTCTGACCTCAATCATCAGATCTTAGCCTCCTGAGTAGCTAGGATTACAGTATGAGGCACTGGTACCCAGCATTTATGACACTTTTAAAAAACTAGATTGCCTATGAGTTTCTACAAACTTAAATGCAAATGTTGTCTTACTACTTTAAAACAAAATATAAGGTGCCAGTGGCTCATGCCTACAATACTAGTTATCCTGGAAGCAGACCTGGAGATTGCAGTTCAGAACCAGCCAATGCAGAAAAACTCTTAACAGGATTCCATCTCCGAAACTAGCATAAATCTAGGCTGGTGGCATAGAGCACTAGCCAAGCAAGCAAGCAAGCTGATCAGGTGTCCTTGATTTCAAACTCTGGGACTAGCCAAAAGTAAATTAGAGCTAATATTCATACAACATTTTTGGAATGCTTTCCTTATACACAATATATAGGGATAAATTTAAAATATGTTCCCTAGCTTTGCAGTAGTCTAGTTTAGCTAGAGAGCCAGCGTACCCTACAAAATAAGATGCCACATGTTAGAATAGAAATTTAAAATGTGACAGAGGTGGAAACACTTCATTTTGCTGAGCATAAAGAGAGGTAAACATTTCTTCAAATTTGAGTGGGACTTAATAGGTAGAAATCATTAGAAACCAAGAACTCTAAACCTGGAACCAGAAATACTGGGTATTACTTCTGTCTGTTATCTAGGGGAAAAAAATTAGTAGATGTTTCTAAACCTCATAAGACTATAAGATTATAGTATGAGTTAGTCTTAAAAGTATATGTATTATAAAAAACCTTCAGGTCAGATTAATGAATCTTTTGTTGTTTCTCCACCCTCTCCCCCACCCAGATGTCATTAATGATGACCATTATCAATTTGGCTCAGAATTTTTTGGGTAGCAATAATTTGAACCTATTGCAGCCCATTGGTCAGTTCGGTACCAGGCTGCATGGTGGCAAAGACTCTGCTAGCCCTCGATACATCTTTACAATGCTCAGGTGAGTATTAATTCAATTTCTAGTTTCTTGCCATTCCAGTCTTGGTACAGTATAAGCCCAAAATGGAAAAATTCAGTTATTTAGGAAGGAAACACTGGCATTTACAAATAGCCCAAATCAAATCCTTACAACAAAGAATTTTCTGGCCCAAAATGGTCAATATCAGCAAGGTTAGAAAACAGTGGTTCACACTTGTAATCTTAGCTACCTACAAAGCTGAGATTGGAAGATCACAGTTTTGAGCTAGCAAAAAAGTCCATGACACTCCAATTAACCACCAAAAAGCCAGACGTGAAATTGTAGTTCAGGTGGTAGAACAGCACAAGGCTTGAGCAGAAAAGATAAATGACAGTGTCTAGGCCCTGAGTTCAACTCAGGCCCCAGTACAGGCAAAAAAATGAGGCAACCTGGGCACCAGTGGCTCACACCTATAATCCAACTGCTCAGGAGCCTAAAATCAAGAAGATTGTAGTCCTAACTCTACCCAGGCACAAAAGTCCACTAGGTTTCTCCTCCAGCAAAAAAAGCAGGACTGGATGTATGATTTAAATGGTAGGTGGCTAAGCAATCAGCATGAGGATCAGAGTTCAAGCCTTGTGGGAAAAGCAGAAAGAACCTGGTATGGGCTTGGCACTGGAGGCTGAGAACTGAGGATCACAGTTCAAAGCCAGCCCCAGCAAGAAAGTCCATGAGATTCTCACCTTCAATTAACTACCAAAAAGGTCCAGAGTAGAGCTGTGGCTCAAGAGGTAGAGTGCTAGCCTTGAGCACAGAAGTTCAGAGTCCCTGAGTTTAAGCCTCAGAACTGGCACCAGAAAACATGATAGTAATATCAATAGTTTTATATATACATGTATATATACACATACATGCACACATACACACAGTGTGCATGTCTGTTATCCCAACACTCCTGATAGGAAAACTGAAAATTTGAGGTTAGCCTGTCTATATAGAAAAATTGAGCCTAGCACAGGCTACATAGTGATACCCTCTCTCAATTTGTTTTTGTTTTTTTTGTTGGTCATGGGGCCTGAACTCTGGGCCTGAGTGCTTGCTGTCCTTCAACTCTTTAGCTCAAGGTTAGCACTCTACCACTTGAGCCACAGGGCCACTTCCAATTTTCTGAGTGTTTTGTTGGGGATAAGTCTCACGGACTTTTCTGCCCAGGTTGGCTTTGAACTATGATCCTCAGATCTCAGCATCCTGAGTAACTAGGATTACAGAAGTGAGCCACCAGCACCTGCTTCCTCTCAATTTTGAAAAAGATAACAAGAAAACTTTGGCTTTTCCTAATTATCAGATCTGAAATGTCAGCTGTAATAAGTATTATGAAAGGTTAATTTTCAGCTCTCCTCTTCAGTTTTTGAGCAGTATTCAAGATGGTTATTAATCAGTCTTTGAAATGCTTCTTTATCCGTACTACATGACAACAGACTGAAGGTTCTCCACTTACTAACATTCTTTGGTGGGTCCTTCTCTTCTTTCCCACCTTTAAATGCTCGCATGGCTCAGTGCTTATCATTTTGTTTTGTTTTCATCAGTATTGGCACTTGAACTCAGAGTCTTGAGCTTTTTTGTTCAGGGCCTGGTGTTCTTTTTTTGGGGGGGGGGGGGGTCTGGTTGTGGGGCCTGAACTCTGGGTCTGGGCGCTGTCCCTCAGCTCTTCAGCTCAAGGCTAGCGCTCTACCACTTGAGCCACAGCACCACTTCCGGCTTTTTTCTTTTTGCTTATGTGGTGCTGAGGAATCGAACCCAGGGCCTCATACATGCAAGGCAAGCGCTCTACCATTGAGCCACCTTCCCCGCCCCAGGGCCTGGTGTTCTACAACTTAAGCCACACTTCCAGTTCTAACTTTTTTTTTTTTCTTTTGTGCCAGTCCTGGGGCATGAACTCAAGCCCTGGGTGCTGTCCCTGAGCTTTTGTGCTCAGTTCTAAAGCTCTACCACTTGAGCCATCATTCCATTACTGGTTTTTTTGGTGTTTAATTGGCAATAATTCCATGTACTTTGCCATCTGGGCTAGCTTCAATCTGCTCTCCTCAGATCTCACCCTCCTGGACAGCTAGGATTACAGGTGTGAGCCACCTGAGACTGTCTAGGAAACAGTCTTTGTAAGTAAGATGCCATCATTCTAATTATTTAAGCTAAAAGGCTTATATTCATTCCTTTTCTTGACATTTCCATCAAATTTCTCAACAAATCCCATGAGTTCTGCATTGGAAAAACACTAAGCTACCCTTTTCATTGTGTCTTCTCATAGTAGCCAATTATTCAAAAGTAGGTCAGCCTGGCTCAAAACCTTCCAGCTGCTCATTCAGAGTAAATTTAGCTACCTCCCATAACTTTTGATTCCTCTCATACCTTCCCTGCTTCAGCTGCAGTACCCTACGCTGTAGATATCTACATGATTTACTCTCTCAAGGTTTTTTCTCAGCTCAAATGTAATCTTATCTGGGCTGTCAAGTTGGCTCAGTGGTAGTGCCTCGCATGAATGAGGCCCTGGATTTGATTCCTCAGCACCACATAAGCAGAAAAAAGCTGGAAATGGTGCTGTGGCTCAAGTGGTAGGGCACTAGCCTTGAGCTAAAGAGCTGAGGAACAGCATCCAGGCCCAAAGTTCAGCCCCCACGACCAACCAAAAAAAAAATGTAATCTTTAACATAAAGAACTTCATTTTTCTTAAAACTCTTGTTTTTATTTATTAGGTTTTTTTTTAGATACAGGGTCTTTCTATGTTACCCAGGCTGGACTGAAACTCCCAAGTTCAAATAATTCTCCTTTCCAACTTACTGGCACTATGGGCATAGGCCTCTATGCCAGACTTCACTTTTTTTTTTTTTTTTTTTTAGGTTTTGAGACAGGATCTCACTATGCAGCCTAGTATATCCTTGAACTCAAGTCTTCCTGCTTCTTCCTCTCCAAGTGTTAGGATTATAAATATGTGCCACTCTACCCAGGTCTTAACATCCTTTCAGTCCCTTTTTGTTGGTTTGGTGCTAGTCCAGAGGGTTAAACTCAGAGCCTGGGCCCTGTCCCTGAGCTTTTTTGCTCACAGCTAGGGCTCTTCCACAAGCCACAGTTCCATTTGTGGCTTTTCAATGGTTATTTGAAGATATGAGTATCATGAAGTTTCCTTTCCTGTCTGAGCTGGCCTTAAACTGTAATCCTTAGACTTCAGCTTTCTGAGTCCCTAAGTTTATTACCAGCATGAGCCCCCAGCTTCGTCACTTTTTCCTCCTTTGGCAGACCACTATAAAATGTATTGTCACTGCCTCACACTACTAGAACATGCACTTGAGCGTTTAGACTATGTCCCTAGTATCTAGTGTCTAGAAAATGCATAATAAACAATGTTAAATGAGTATTGATTATCAGGATGGTTTTTATGTGGTAAATATAAAGTAACCCATGTACTTTCTGTAGAAGTATCAAAGCTAATTTTTTTGTTGTTGTTGTTTTTCAAAATGATATTCTTTGTTTTCTTTAGCCCTTTGGCTCGGTTGTTATTTCCACCAAAAGATGACCACACACTAAAGTTCTTATATGATGACAATCAACGTGTTGAACCTGAATGGTACATACCTATTATACCTATGGTGCTAATAAATGGTGCTGAAGGCATCGGAACTGGGTGGTCCTGCAAAATTCCCAACTTTGATGTTCGTGAAGTTGTAAATAACATCCGGCGTTTGATGGATGGAGAAGAACCTTTGCCAATGGTAACTATTCTGTTGGGAACTTCAGTTTTCCTCGTGTTTCACTTAAGTAAACTATAGAATTTTAGAGGATGCTAATATAGATTTATTGTTGAACATCTTTGATTTGTCTCTAGTATTATACTAAGAAAGTTTTTTTTATTAAAATCTCAATTTAGCTGCCAAGTTACAAGAACTTCAAGGGTACTATTGAAGAGCTGGCTTCAAATCAATATGTAATTAGTGGTGAAGTAGCTATTCTTAATTCCACCACCATTGAAATCTCAGAGCTTCCTATCAGAACATGGACCCAAGTAAGGAATTAGAGATTTCATTTTTTTTTTTCATTTCATGGTCAAGACTGTAATATTGCTGTTGTCTACTCAGGAATACTTATAAAAAGCTTATTTCTTTCCTTAGACATACAAAGAACAGGTTCTAGAACCCATGTTGAATGGCACTGAGAAGACACCCCCTCTCATCACAGACTATAGGGAATATCATACAGATACTACAGTGAAGTTTGTTGTAAAGATGACTGAAGAAAAACTGGCAGAAGCAGAGAGAGTTGGATTACACAAAGTCTTTAAACTCCAAACTAGTCTCACCTGCAATTCTATGGTATGTTTTGTTTTGTGTGTTTCTACTTGTATTAAAGAATGATACCAATTTTAAAAGGTATCTTAAGCCACTTGTATTAAATTTACCCAATTTATTGATTCTTGGCACTACTTTTTCCTTTTCCAGGTACTTTTTGACCATGTAGGGTGTTTAAAGAAATATGACACGGTGTTGGATATTCTAAGAGACTTCTTTGAACTCAGGCTCAAATATTATGGATTAAGAAAAGAATGGCTTCTAGGAATGCTTGGTGCCGAATCTGCTAAACTGAACAATCAGGCTCGCTTTATCTTAGAAAAAATAGATGGAAAAATTGTTATTGGTATGTAAACATTTGATGATCAACTAGTTTGACAGAGTTAGCTTTTCCTCGATTGTGAGGTTATGTTTGTTTTTGTTTTTTGGCCAAACTCAAGGCTCTGTAGTGCTCATCATGCCCTCTATCCCTGAATTATACTCCTAACCCCACAGATTGAAATCTTAAAAAATTAAGAGGTAGAGTGCTTGCCTTACATGCATGAGCCCCTAGGTTTGATTCCTCAGCAGAAAATGCCTGAAGTAGTGTTGTGGATCATGTGGTAGAGTGCTAGCCTTGAGCTGAAAAGCTGAGGGACAGCACCCAGGCCCAGAGTTCAGCCCCCACAACCAACAAAAAAAAAAGAAATTAAGATTTAATTGACATTTGGACAAGAAGAAAATTGAGAACTCAAAAACACCTTCTTTTTATAAACTGATTGATCATAAGAAGAGACAATAAATGTGATGGAAAAGGCAAGAAGAATAATTATAAGTTGTTTATAAATAAAATGTATGCCCATGAGTGAAAAAATCAGGCCAGGTAAACAATCGTTAATCATAAGGAATTTTTTTTTTTAATTCCATACTAGTTTGAACTCAGAGCCTCAACCTTGCTGAGCCATTACCCCCATCCCCACCCACCCGCTATCCTGGGACTTTTCTTAGAAATTGCTACTTAGAAAAAGGCTACTAAAAGTTTAAGTGACCAGGAAGGGAAGTCTTTACTAAAGCTAGACTGTAAGGAAAATTAAAGAAATAGGTTGGAAGAAGTAGAGGTTTGGCTCGAATGGTAGAGCACCAGCCTTGAGTTTTCAAAAAGGCTAGACTAGAACTTGAAGCTCTGAATCCACCAAGCTTCAGAAACAGGAAGAGATAAAAAAAAGGTTTACCTTTTGACAGAGCTAACTAGAAAAGCCACCTAATTTCATTGAGTTAAACTAGCAAATTCCAAAACATAATAACACAAGATATTAGTAAATCACTGGCTGATTTTTCTCATGATACAAAGAAATGCTTGACATGATCAGTTACATGGTCTTGGAGTTTTTTGTTTTGTTTATTCATATTTTTTGGTAGTACTGGGGCTTTTTGTGCTCAAGCTTGCTCTACCACTGAGCCTCACTTGCTGCCCAGTTGTATTTTCCACAAAGCTAGGATGACAGGCCATGCTACCATATCCAGCTATTTGGCAAAGGGATCATATGAAAATTTTTTTGTCCACGCTGGCCTCTAGCCATGAGCCTCCCTATTTTAGCCTCCCAGTTTGTTAGGATTGCAAGCAGACCCACAAGTGCCTGCTAAAATATCAGAACTTGATATTATTGTTTTGTGATGTTGGGGATTGAACTCGTGGCCTAACTTTCTAGGCAAGTGTTTAACACTTGAGCCACACCTATAGTCAAGTTTGTTTTGATATACACTAAAATTACTTGGACTAGCATATCAACCCCCTTATACCACAAATACTGCTTGAAGGAAAGGTAAAATAAATGATTATAGACATGATTTGAGGGGAAAAGGGGGCTTAGCTGACTGGAATTAAGCATAGACATTATCCAGTCTTGAGGAATAAAAATAGATAATCTAAATTTGTAATCTGTGTCAAGTTAATTGGAAGATGGTGGATTCTCAAAAGTAATATAGCTAATGACTCATTGTACCTCAAAGTGCAATAAATTGACTGCAGCAAACATAGTAGTATTATAGGGAAAAGGGAAGGAATGCATCATGGAGCACACAAGAAAAATCACTCTTTAGGTGGGTGGCACTAAACCATGTACTATCAAGTGTTGAAATAAGCCAGAGAGCATAGTTGAGGTAGGTTTTATTTCTTTTTTCTTTTTTTTTTTTTTGGGTCCGGTCGTGGGGCCTGAACTCTGGGCCTGGGCGCTGTCCCTCAGCTCTTCAGCTCAAGGCTAGCGCTCTACCACTTGAGCCACAGCGCCACATCCGGCTTTTTTCTTTTTGCTTATGTGGTGCTGAGGAATCGAACCCAGGGCCTCGAACATGCAAGGCAAGTGCTCTACCACTGAGCCACCTTCCCAGCCCATTATTTCTGAAACATACCAAAAATAAAGATTTTCATTCCTTTAAGAATTATGATTGGGGCTGGGAAGGTGGCTTAATGGTAGAGTGCTTGCCTTGCATGCATGAGGCCCTGGGTTCAATTCCTCAGTACCACATAAGCAGAAATTGCACTGTGGCTCAAGTGGTAGAGCACTAGCTGAAGAGCTGAGGGACAGCGCCAGGCCCAGAGTTAAGGTCCCATGACCAACAAAAAATAAGATTGGATCCAGGTGCCGGTGGCTCATGCCTGTAATGCTAGCTACTGTAATCTGAGGATCACAGTTCAAAAGGCCATGAAACTTATCTCCAATAAACCACCAGGAAACCGGAAGTGGTGCTGTAGCTCAAGTGGTAGAGCCCTAGCATTGAGCTGAAGAGCTAAGGGACAGCTCCCAGCCCCAGAGTTCAAGCCCCATGACCAAAAAAAAAAAAATTATGATTGGATCACACTTCAAATTATTTGACTGCCCCCAGTAATTGACACTTGCCCTTAGTTTATGGAGATTTGTCTATTTACCAGGATGTACATATATATGTGCAAAACAAAGAGTTTTATTTACAGCTTTAATCTTTTGACTTATTGTGGTAAAACCTTGTCCCTTTCCTAAAATCTTAACTTAAAAGTATTTTCTCTCTACTCTACATTCTTTATTAGAAAACAAGCCTAAGAAAGAACTTATTAAAGTTCTGATCCAGAGGGGATATGATTCAGATCCTGTGAAAGCCTGGAAAGAAGCCCAACAAAAGGTAATTCCTTGGTTAACAATTTTGTTAAGCACCACTGTGTTCACATTTCATTTTAATTCTACATCTTAATTAACCCTTTAGGTTCCAGATGAGGAAGAAAATGAAGAAAGTGACAATGAAAAGAGTGAATCTGTACCAGATTCAGGGCCATCCTTCAACTACCTTCTTGATATGCCCCTTTGGTATCTAACCAAGGAAAAAAAGGATGAACTATGTAAACAAAGAAATGAAAAGGTAACTTGTTAATGGGATTGCATGTGTTACTTAGTATCATTCTAAAACTCAGTTGTGTGCTACATAAAAATGTTATTTGTACACATATTAACTCAGTTTTCTGGTAATGTTATAAAGGAGCAAGAACTGGATACATTAAAGAAAAAGAGTCCATCAGATTTATGGAAAGAAGACTTAGCTGCATTTATTGAAGAATTAGAGGTATGTAGTATATAATGCACATGTTAAAATTTTTATTAATGAAATATTATATTCCAGCAATTTGCCTTTTTATCAAGAAATTTAACAATTGACCATAGAAAGAATATAGGAAGCATAAAGGTACATTCCAAAATAATGTTAAGCAGCCAGATGTGGTGGCATGTACCTATAATCCCATCTCTTAAGGAGACTGATATATCTAGAGAGTTGAGGCCAGCCAGGGAAGGCAAGTTCCCTAGACTCCATCTCCAAAATAACCAGCAAAATTCCAAGCTGGAGGCATAGCTTAACTGGTACAACAACAATTGCCAAAGCCCTGAATTCAAACCTCTAGTACCACCCACCCACCTCGCCTTTCCCCAAAGAAAACTGCTGTGCACGCACACGCGCGCGTGTGCACACACACACATACACATATAATACTGGTTAGACTGAAGTAAATAGTTTGAGGTAAATGTTTGTGAGATAAATGCTTTGTTTTGGGTTCTTGTTGCCAGTACCAGGTCCTTAACTCAGGACCTCTCACTCTCAATCAGGATCAGCAGTTTTCTACACTCAGCTGGTATTCTACCACTTGAGCTACCCCTCCAATCCAGCTTTTTCAATGGTTGGTTGCAGATACCATCTCTTGAACTTGTCTGCCTACTGTCCAGAAACTGAGACCTTCAGGTCTCAACCTTCTGAGTAGTTAGAATTCTATATGTGAGCCACAGGCATACAGCTATTAGATTACTTTTTATAAAAATCAATAGGAAAGACCTTTAATTAAAACTGAGAAGATACAAAGATCTTAAATGAGGAATGCAGTCCCCTAAGTCAACTTTAAAAGATAAAACAGTTTACTTTTTCAAGGCTTGCTAGTCAAACTGGGGATGGGGGTGGGTTGGTTGGTGTGTTGGTTGGTGATTAGTTGATTCTAGAGATTGAACTAAGCCTAGGCACTGCCTCTGCTTTTTTGGTAAAGACTAGCACTTTACCACTTGAGACACAGCTCCACTTCTGGCTTTTTGTCGGTCTTGGGACTTGAACTCTGGGCCTAGCCACTGTTGCTGAGCTCTTCAGCTCAAGGTAAGCGCTTTACCATTTTAGCCACAGCGTCACTTCAGTTTTCAGGTGGTTCATTAGAGAAAAGAGTCTCACAGTTTATCTCAAATTGATCTTACAATTTAACCAATTGTAATCAGCTCAACTGTTGCCATTTTCTATTTATTTGGGTTTTTTGTCACTTGTAGGGCTTGAACTCAGGGCCTAGGCATTGTCCATGAGTTTTTTCATTCAAGGTTCGTGCTCTACCACTTTGAGCCATAGCTCTACTTCTAGTTTTCTGGTGGTTAATTGGAGATAAGAGTCTTGCTGGGCACCAGTGGCTCACGCCTGTAATCTTAGCTGAGGAGGCTGAGATCTGAGGATTGGGGTTCAAAGCCAGCCCGGGCATGAAACGTGAAATTCTTATCTACAATAAACCACCAGAAAACCAAAAGTGGCGCTGTAGCTCAAGTGGTAGAGTGTTAGCCTTGAGCTGCAGAGCTGAGGGATAGCGCTCTGGCTCAGAGTTCAAGCCCCACAACTGACAAAAAAAAGTCTCACAAACTATTCTGCCCCTTCTGTCTTCAAATGAACCCCAATCCTCAGATCTCAGCCTCCTAAGTAGCTAGGATTATAGGCGTGAGCCACTAGGACCCAGCTGTTGCCATTGTCTGACTGTTATATTTATAGTTCTTAATATTCTCCATTATATCTATTTTGTAGGTTGTTGAAGCCAAGGAAAAACAAGATGAACAAATAGGGTTTCCTGGAAAAGGAGGGAAAGCCAAGGGGAAGAAAACACAAATGATGGAAGTTTTGCCTTCTCCACAAGGAAAAAGAGTCATTCCCCAAGTGACCATAGAAATGAAAGCAGAAGCAGAAAAGAAAATTAAAAGGAAAATTAAGGTAATACTCTATAACGTAACACAAAATATTTTAAAGCAAAATTCTGTTTAAAATTAAACTATTGGGGCTGGAAAGGTGGCTCAGTGGTAGAGTACCTGCCTTGCATGCATGGCCCTGGGTTCGATTCCTCAGCACCACATAAGCAAAAAGAAAAAAGCTGGAAGTGGCGCTGTGGCTCAAGTGGTAGAGGGCTAGCCTTGAGCTGAAGAGCTGAGGGACAGCGCCCAGGCCCAGAGTTCAGGCCCCATGACCGGACCCAAAAAAATTAAATTAAACTATTAAATTCCTTACACAGTAGTTTGGGATTTATACTATAGCTTTCTTCTTTTGAGACCAGGACTTGAACTCAATATCTGATACTGTTGCTCATTGGCTAGTGTGTATCACCTGAGCCACGCCTCTAACTGTTAGCTTTTCTTTCTTAAGCACTTTTTTTTTTTTTTTTTTTTTTGTCGGTCGTGGGGCTTGAACTCTGGGCCTGCGCGCCGTCCCTCAGCTCTTCAGCTCAAGGCGAGCGCTCTACCACTTGAGCTACAGCGCCACTTCCGGTTTTGTGGTGGTTTATTGGAGATAGGAGTCTCACGGTCTCTCCTGCCCGGGCTGGCTTTGAACCGCGATCCTCAGATCTCAGCCTCCTGAGTAGCTAGGATTACAGGCGTGAGCCACCAGCGCCCGGCCTTAAGCACTTTTTAATGCTTAAATCTTTTAAAAAGGGACTGGGAATGTGGCTTAGTGGGAGAGTGCCTGCCTAACATGCATGAAGGCCTGGGTTCCATTCCTCAGCACCACATAAACAGAAAAGGCTGGAAGTGGTGCTGTGGCTCAGTGGTAGAGTGCTAGCCTTGAGCAAAAGAAGCTCAGAACAGTGCCAGGACCCTGAGTTCAAGCCCCAGGACTAGAAAAAATAAAAAAATAGAAATTAATAAGTATCTTTTAAAAAAAATGCCACTCCTTTCTGACCTCTTTTTTTTTTTTTTTTTTTGTCCAGTCATGGGACCTGAACTCTGGGCCTGGGCGCTGTCCCTCAGCTCTTCAGCTTAAGGCTAGCCCTCTACCACTTGAGCCACAGCGCCACTTCTGGCTTTTTTTGCTTATGTGGTGCTGAGGAATCGAACCCAGGGCCTCATGCATGCAAGGCAAGCACTCTACCACTGAGCCACCTTCTCAGCCCCTTTCTGACCTCTTAAAAATCAAAAAAACATACTCTTTGACCATATTGTATTTTGGTATATTCTCTTAATAAAATTTCAGGGAATGTGGCTTAGTGGTAGAGTGTTTGCCTCACATGCATGAGGCCCTGAGCTCAATTCCTTGGTACCATATACACATGAAATTAATAAACTAAAAGGAAAAATAACCATTAAAAATTTTTTTAAAAGAAAGAATTGTGAAAAAATTTTTTAAATAAGCATTTTTTTCTTGCTATGCTTTTTGTTTGTTTGTTTTTTTAATCTGTCTTTTAGAGTGAAAACACTGAGACTAAGGAGGATGGGATGGAAATAGAAGGCCTAAAAGAAAGATTGGAGAAGAAACAGAAAAGAGAACCAGGTATTACAATATTTTATAAATGGCATTTATTTCCTAATATAAAAACTTAGTTAGGGGCTAGGAATATGGCTTAGAAGTAGAGTGCTTGCCTAGCATTCATGAAGCTCTGGGTTTAGTTCCTCAGTACCATATAAACAGAAAAGCTAGAAGTGGCAATGTGGCTCAAGTGGTAAAACACCAGCCTTGAGCCAAAAAAAGCTCAAGGAAGCTGGGGAAGTGATGAGTCTTGCCTATAATCCTAGCTACTTGGGAGGTTAAGATCCAGGTTGCAGTTTTTTGTTTTGTTTTTGTCGGTTGTGGGGCTTGAACTCTGGGCCTGCGCGCTGTCCCTCAGCTCTTCAGCTCAAGACCAGTGCTCTACCACTTGAGCTACAGCGCCACTTCCGGTTTTGTGGTGGTTTATTGGAGATAGGAGTCTCACGGTCTCTCCTGCCCGGGCTGGCTTTGAACCGCGATCCTCAGATCTCAGCCTCCTGAGTAGCTAGGATTACAGGCATGAGCCACCAGCGCCCAGCCAGATTGCAGTTTTAACCACCAGAAAAACAAGTGACACTGAGGCTCCAAGTGGTAGAGCACTATTCTTGAGCAACAAAGCCCAGAAACAGCACCCAGGCTTTGAATTAAGCCCCACGACTAATCAAAATAAAGAACAGGAACTATGTGTTTCTGCTCACATTATATTGTAAGTACCATTGCCGTAATCAATAAACATTGGAGCTGGGCACCAGTGGCTCACACCTGTAAGCCTGAAATCTGAGGATCAGGGTTCAAAGCCCTAAGAGTTTCCACTAAACTACCAAAAAAGCCCGAAGTAGAGGTATCACTCAAGTGATAGAGCATTAGTCCTAAACAAATAAAGCCCAGGGAAAGCAGGCACTGGTTGCTCACACCTATAATCTTAGCTGCTCAGGAGGCTGAGAGCTGAAGATTCCAGTTCAAAGCCAGCCTGGGCAGGAAAGTCTTTGAGACTCTTATCTCCAGTCAACCACCAGAAAACCGGAAGTGGCACTGTGACTCAAGTGGTAGAGTCCCTGCCTTGAGCTGAAGAGCTCAAGGACAGCACTCAGGCCTAGAGTTCAAGCCCCATGGCAGACGTACATATGTACATAAAAGCAAGCTCAGGGACAGTGTCTAGGCCCTGAGTTTAAACCCCAGGACAGGTACCTAAACAAACATTGGAAGGAGTCTAAGGGTATATATATAAGGTTTTTAATTTTATCTTGCCTCTAGGTGCCAAGGTAAAGAAACAAACTACATTGCCATTTAAACCTGTCAAAAAAGGAAAGAAGAAAAACCCCTGGTCAGATTCAGACTCAGATATGAGTAGTACTGAAAGTAATTTTGATGTTCCTCCACGAGAAATAGAGCCACGGAGAGCTGCAAGTAAGACAAACTTTAGAATGTACTATACATGCTGTAAGATTTGAATGGCCAATGGCTTCCCTGCTTAATTCCAGAAATTAGCCTTTAGAGCAGTACGTTTCACTAAATATTTTGAAGAATTGAAGCATGTTTAGGTGATTAAATTGAAGCCTACATATATCCTTGAAATGTTACATCAGTCTTTGAATTAAATGTGTCTCGTGCCCTCTCTAATTCCTTGCATATATGTTTAACAGCAAAATCCAAATTCACAGTGGATTTGGATTCAGATGAAGATTTTTCAGATTTTGATGAAAAAATTGAAGATGAAGATTTTGTCCCATCGGATGCTAGTCCACCTAAGACCAAAGCTCCCCCAAAGTAAGAATCTTATCTAACATGGAGTTTTTGTGGTTGGTTGGTTGGTTAGTTGTAGCATACCTGGGTTTGGACTCAGGCACTCTACCATTTAAGCCATGTTTCTAACCCTCTTAATACATATTTTACCATGCTTTTAACAGATAATGCATTCTTTGTTGCTTTTTGTTTGTTGATACTTAGAATTGATTGTCAAGACATTATCTTTTTATTCTAGACATACTGAAAAAGAACTGAAGCCACAGAAAAGTGCCACGTCAGGTATGTGTTTAAGTAAAAGCAGTAAGGTATCTCTTCTGCTGGGACACTCAGGTCCAACTGGGTTCTAAATCTGGCTACATTATCCAAATACTTTACTTATAAATAAACATAAGGGGGCTGGGAAGGAAGCTCCGTTGTAGAATGCTTGCCTTGCATGCATGAGGCCCTTGGTTTGATTCTTCAGCACCACAAAAGCAGAAAAGGCCGAAAGTGGCGCTGTGGCTCAAGTGGTAGCACTCTACCACTAGCCGTGAGCTGAATAGCTGAGGGCAGTGCCCAGGCCCAGAGTTCAGGCTCCACAACCAACCAAAAAAAAAAAATCAGCATAAGGTATTTTTCTTGTTAGCATTCTATTGCTATTATTGTTATTTTTACACATCAGACAAGTAATCAGTATTTTCCAGGTACTTGATTAGGTGCTTTTTTGCTCAAGGCTAACTCTCTACCACTTTCTGGGGGTTAATTGGAGTTAAGAGTTTCATATACTTTCCTGCCAATCTGGCTTTGAATTGCCAACTGTGTAACTAGGATTGTAAGTATGAGCCTCTAGTGCTTAGTTAAAAATTTCTTGTATGGCCGGGCGCTGGTGGCTCACGCCTGTAATCCTAGCTACTCAGGAGGCTGAGATCTGAGGATCGCGGTTCAAAGCCAGCCCGGGCAGGAGAGACCGTGAGACTCCTATCTCCAATAAACCACCACAAAACCAGAAGTGGCGCTGTAGCTCAAGTGGTAGAGCGCTCGCCTTGAGCTGAAGAGCTGAGGGACAGCGCGCAGGCCCAGAGTTCAAGCCCCACGACCGACAAAAAAAAAAATTCTTGTATGGGGCTGGGAAGGTGGCTCAGTGGTAGAGCGCTTGCCTTGCATGCATGAGGCCCTGGGTTCAGTTCCTCAGCACCACATAAAAATAAAAAGCCGGAAATGGCGCTTTGGCTCAAGCGGTAGAATGCTAACCTTGAGCTGAAGAGCTGAGGGTCAGCGCCCAGGCCCAGAGTTCAGGCCTCATGACCAGACCCCCAAAAAAAAATTTTTTTAATTTCTTGTATGCACATTTATAATCTTAATGTTTGGAAGGCTGATGGAAGATTGTAAATTTGAGGCCAGCTTGGGCTCAGTCTCAGCCTGGCTCAGTGGTAGAGCGCTTGCCTTGCATGCTCGAGGCCCTGGGTTCGATTCCTCAGCACCACATAAAAAAAAAGCTGGAAGTGGCGCTGTGGCTCAAGCCGTAGAACGCTAACCTTGAGCTGAAGAGCTGAGGGACAGTGCCCAGGCCCAGAGTTCAGGCCCCACGACCGGACCCAAAAAAAAAAAAAAAACCCAGCCCCAGCAGGAAATCCCATGAAACTCTTTTGCCAGTCCTGGGACTTGAACTCAGGGCCTAGGTACTGTCACTAAGCTTTTGTGCTGAAGGCCAGCACTCTACTACTGAAACCACAGCCCACTTAACAGTTTTTTGATGGGAGGAGGAAATAATAAGAGTTTCACAGGGATTCCTATCTAGAATGGCTTCAAACCAAGATCCTCAGATCTCAGCCTCCTGAGTAGCTAAGATTATAGGTGTGATCTACCATCGCCCTGCCCATGAGTCTCTTGTCTCCAATACACTACCAAAAAACCAGAAGTGGAGCTGTGGCTCAAGTGGTAGCCTTGAACAAAAAGAAGCTCAGGGATACCCAAAACAAGGGCCACAGAGTTCAGGCCCCAGGACAGGCATCGAGGAAAAAAATTGAGCTAGAGGCATGACTCAAGTGCTAGATCACCAAGATATAATGTGTAGCCCTGAATGAGTTCAAGCCCTAGTACTGGCACACACACACACACACACACACACACACACACACACAAAAACCTGGGGCTGGGAATGTGGCTTAGTGGTAGAGTGCTTGCCTAGCATGCATGAAGCCCTGGGTTCCATTCCTCAGTACTACATAAACAAAGAAAGCCAGAAGTGGCACTGTGGCTCAAGTGGCAGAGTCCTAGTCTTGAGCAAAAAGAAGCTCAGGGACAGTGTCCAGGCCCTGAGTTCAAGCCCCCAGACTGGCAAAAAAAAGAAGAAAGGAAGGAAGAAACTTAAAATTAGAACAAATGTTTAATATAGTCCAGAAAAGTGTTTAAAAAGAAGCTCATAAGGACAAGATGGTCTCATGGATTTCCTATGTTATCTATATGAATTGTTTTTCTTTCCACTTGAAGTAGTTAACTTGGATGATGCTGAAGAAAATGTAGCCCCTTCTTCAAGCCTTCCATCTGCTGACTTACCAGCTAAAATTGAAATTCTAGCTCAACCTTCTAAAAAGAATGTGACAGTGAAGAAGACAGCAACAAAAAGTAAGCTTAAATCTTTAAAATTAGTTGACCTTGGGGCTAGGAAGGTGGCTCAGTGGTAGAGCGCTTGCCCTGCATGCATGAGACCCTGGGTTCAATTCCTCAGCACTACATAAGCAGGAAAAAAAAAAGCCGGAGGTGGCGCTGTGGCTCAAGTGGTAGAGCGCTAGCCTTGAGTTGAAGAGCTGAGGGACAGTATCCAGGCACAGAGTTCAGGCCCCACGACCGGACCCAAAGAAAAAAAAGATTAGTTGACCTTAGGATTAACTGACTGGCTGCCACAAGTCAATTTTAACCTTCACTTGTGCTAGCCCCAGTGCTAGTGATTCATATGTATAATCCTCCTTACTCGGGATGCTGAGATTTGAGATCTCAGGTCAGAGCTAGCATAGACAGACAAATTTGAGGGACTTCTTTTGGTGTGTTATGATACATATACACACACAATTATTATTAAAGAGTTGTACAAGGCTGGGAATGTGGCTTAATTGGTAAAATGCTCGCTTAGCATGCATGAAGCCCTGGGTTTAATTCCTCAGTATCACATAAAAAGAAAAGGCTGGAAATTGCACTATGGCTCAAGTGGTAGAGTGGTAGCCTTGAGCACAGAGAGGCTCAAGGGTAGCCCAGGCCTTGAGATCAAGTCTCAGGAACAGCAAAAAAGAAAAACAAACCAAAAAAAGAAGAGTTGTACAAAGGGGTTACAATTCCATATAAAGCAGGTAATAACAATTTTTCTTGGACACCCCTTCTTTTACTTTCCCTCAGTTTCCCTCTTCCATTCTTCCCCACAACTTGCATTTAACTACGTTGTGTTCACCTTTCCTCCATTTCAGAAGGACCCTTTTTTTGGTGGGGGGGTTACTTGTGGGACTTGAATTCTGGGCCTAAGTGCTGTCCCTCAGCTCTTCAGCTCAAGGCAAGCACTCTACTACTTGAGCCACAGAATCATTTCCAGTTTTCTGGTGGTTTATAGGAGATAAGAGTCTCACAGACCTTCCTGCCTGGGCTGACTTTGAACCGTGATGCTCAGATCTCAGCTCCTGAGTAGTTTAGGATTACAGGCGTGAGCCATCGTGCCCAGCATCTGAGGGAAGCATGGCTCAAGAGGTAGAGTGTCAGCCATGTGTGAAAAAGCCAAGGAAGAGCTCATTGCCTAAAGTTCAAGCCCTAGTAATAGCACCAAGAAAAGAGTGATGGTAATGATTTCTTGTGCTGACTTGCAGGTCAGTCTTCCACCTCTGTTGCTGGTACCAAAAAAAGGGCAGCTCCCAAAAAAACCAAAACAGATCCAGCCTTAAATTCTGATAACTCTCAAAAGCCTGATCCTGCCAAGAACAAGACTCGCCGCAAAAGGAAGCCATCCACTTCTGATGATTCTGACTCTAATTTTGAGAAAATCATTTCTAAAGCAGCCACAAGCAAGGTATTTATCCCTAGGCCTTTGCTATAGACGTTTTAAAACACCTAACTAAGCTTTTGCTCTTTTATATACTTTTAAGAAAATAAATTTAAATCAGTCAACTGTTAAACAGTAATTTTGGACTATACTACTTAGAAGATAGAAAACTCCTTGTGATTTGGAAATTATACTATTGAATTTATATTATGCAAATGGTTTGCATTTTCTTTTCAGAAACCCAAAGGGGAGACCGATGAGTTCCTTCTGGACTTTGACTCAGCTGTGGCTCCTCGGGCAAAGTCTGTACGAGCCAAGAAACCTATCAAGTACCTCGAAGAGTCAGATGAAGATGACCTGTTTTAAAATGTGAATGGTCTCATTGCACCTAAGACTGGTTTTTAAGTTACTCGAAGTTCTTAATTTCCTCTCCTGAATACTGTACACAAGACTAACAAAGTAAAGTGAATAGAGTCCATAAACCCTTAGCTTCTTATACAGTGTACTGTCTAAATAATGATCACCTTGTGAGCATTATTTTCTTCTCTACTTTGTCTGTGCTTTCTCTGTTTTCTTTGATTAAAATCAGATTTCATATTCTTCTAGACTCAAATTATATGGTCACTTCAGCAAAAAAAAAAAAAAAATCAAAATATTAAGCTAAAACTGGAGCCATTTTACTTAAGTATTACTCTGCCTCCTTCCCTGTTTTCACTAAATAGGAAGTAGCATAATTGTTTCATCTTTATTTTATAGATAATATTCTACCAAGTAGAACTTGATAGCTTTAGTACAAATATTATTTGGCCTTTTAAATGATTTTTGTTTAAACAATGAGAAATTGCTCCTATCCTGAACATCATGTGCTGAAGAAAACCACCCTATGTCTGAAGGAACTTATAGTCAGCAGTATCAAGAAAATTAGACCAGTTGTTTGACTGTCAACTCTTGACTTGTCCCCTCTGTTGCCTGAGTCCCTGTCTCCCAGAACAGATTTCTAGAGAATGTTGAACTCTGATTTTAGGACCTTTCTAGATTGGTATATGTGTTTCTTGAGTGATATTATCAATGTTTTTATAAATATTTACTATGTTTTTTTACTTAGCTTCATCCTTTTGTATTTTAATAAAAATGTTCTAAGCATTGCCCGTTGATTGCCTCCTTTTTTTTTTTTTAATCCCAGACTTACTCTGAAATATAGCCCTCTTCACTGTTGTAATCGTTTTTACAAGACTGACGGCTTCTATCCATGGTGACAGCCAATTTAGGCCAGTAAGATTTTTTTTCCCTAAGATTTTATGTGTAGGTACTAAGTTCTTCATCTTCTCTACACTTTGACTAAATAACTTATTAAATGTATGTCTCTTAAATAATTTGCTATTTTCGCAACTATTTTGATAACCTACTCAAGTGCTTAATGGAATCAGTAAGTTATGGGACTTCTGGCTATAATCCATATAGGAAAAAAACAATGTTATATAAATCCAATTTCTGCTCACATATACCAAAATTAAGTTCAAGTAGACTAATTTATTTATGTTGAGTATTAAACCCAGGGTCTGAGGCATTCTGAAGAAGCACATCACTGAGCTACAACTGCAGCCCCAGACTAATTAAATATTAACATATCAAATCTGGCCATGTGATTCAAGTGGTAGAGTGCCTGTCTTCAAACAAAAAGTTTTTACTTCAAACCTTAATACTGCCCCTTCCCCCCCCCCCCCCCCCAAAAAAAAAGGAAGCCTGGAAAAAGGGTCTTCAAAAAAAAGTAGCCAAGAAGTGGCACTGTGGCTCAAGTGGAAGAGCACTAGCCTTGATCTGAAGAGCTCAGAGACAGCACCCAGGTCCAGAGTTCAAGCCCCACAACTGACCAAAAAAAAAGTAGCCAGGCCCCAGTGTCTCATGCCTATAATCCTAGCTATTAAGGAGACTGAGATCTGAGGATCACAGTTCAAAGCCAGTCCGGGCAGGAAAGTCTGGGAGACTCTTATCTCCAATAAACCCACCAAAGAACCAGAAGTGGTACTGTGGCTCAAGTGGTAGAGTGCTAGCCTGAGGGTCAGCACCCAGGCCCAGAGTTCAAGCCTCATGACTGACCAAAATAAAAAGTAATCCTGGCCTAGTAATGTGGCTTAGTGGTAGAGTGCTTGCCTAGCTTGCCTGAAGCCCTGAGTTCAATTCCTCAGTACCACATAAACAGAAAAGGCCAGAAATGGTGCTGTGGTTCAAGAGGTAGAGTGCTAATCTTGAGCAAAAGAAGCTCAGGTTCGAAGCACAAGCACTGGTGGTTCATGCCTGCCTGTGATCCTAGCTGCTCAGGAAGCTGAGATGTGAGGACTACAGTTTGAAGCCAGCCCTGGCAGGAAAGTCCTTGAGATTCTTATCTCCAATTAATCAGAGGAAAAGCTGGAAATGGTGCTGTGGTTCAAGTGGTAGCAAAAGCTGAGAGACCACCTAAGGATTACAAGAGTATTCCTAGCCAGGCTCTGGTGGTTCATACCTGTAATCCTAGCTAGGTGGGAGGCTGAGATTTGAGGACCGCAGTTCACACCAGCCCAGGCAAGAAATTCTGTGGGGGTTTTTTGTTGTTTTTTTGTCGGTTGTGGGGCTTGAACTCTGGGCCTGGGCCTGGGCACTGTCCCTCAGCTCTTCAGCTCAAGTCCAGCGCTCTACCAGTACCAGTAGCCAGTACCACTTCCAGTTTTCTGGTGGTTTATTGGAGATTTACTGGCCAAGCTGGCTTTTAACTGTGGTCCTCAGATCTCAGCCTCCTGAGTAGCTAGGATTACAGGCATGAGCCACCAAGTCCAGCTTCCATGAGATTCTTAGGTCCAATTAAACACCAAAAACGAAGTGGAGCTAGGATCCAAGTAGTAGAATACTAGTCTTTGGGGCAGTGCCCAGACCCTAAGTTAAATTTTTTTTTTTTTTTTGGTCAGTCATGGGCCTAAACTCTGGGCCTGGGTGCTGTCCCGGAGCGCTTCAGCTCAAAGCTAGTGCCCTACCACTTGAGCCACAGTGCCACTTCCGGCTTTTTCTGTTTTATGTGGTGCTGAAGAATCAAACCCAGGGCCTCATCCATTCAAGGCAAGCGCTCTACCACTGAGCAACCTTCCCAGCCCCCCAGGCCCTAAGTTTAAACCCCAAGACATACTAATTGGAGCAAATAAAAGCAGCTTAGGAGCAAAGACAAAAGTTTGCTCCTGATCATTATTTTCTAAGAACTATGTAATTATTTTTTCAGTTGTGGAGCTTGAAATCAAAGCTGGGCACTAGGTTAATTGAAGATAAGAGTCTCTCAGACTTTCCTACCTGGGCTGACTTTGAACTACAATCCTCAGATCTCAATCTCCTGAGTAACTAGGATTACAGGCGTAAGCCACAGGCACCTGACTTATTTCATATATTTCTTAAGCTACTGACATTGAAGGAGGTTAAAAAAAATCCCACTAAGCCGGGCGCTGGTGGCTCACGCCTGTAATCCTAGCTACTCAGGAGGCTGAGATCTGAGGATCGCGGTTCAAAGCCAGCCCGGGCAGGAGAGACCGTGAGACACCTGTCTCCAATAAACCACCACAAAACCGGAAGTGGCGCTGTAGCTCAAGTGGTAGAGCGCTCACCTTGAGCTGAAGAGCTGAGGGACAGCGCCCAGGCCCAGAGTTCAAGCCCCACGACCGACCAAAAAAAAAAAAAAAAAAATCCCATTAGACCCTTTATAGAACTTATTGTGGGCTGGGAAGGTGGCTCGGTGGTAGAAGGCTTTCTTCCCAGGCATGAGGCCCTGGGTTCAATTCCTCAGCACCACATAAAAAGCCAGAAGTGATGCTGTGGCTAAAGTGGTAGAGCACTAACCTTGAGCTGAAGAGCTCAGGGAGAGTACCCAGGCCCAGAGTTCAAGCCCCATGACTGACCCAAAAAAAAAAAAAAAAAACGTATTTTCTTTTTCTATGCATATGAAATATTGCTTGGGTAAATGCATATTACATAAATGTAAATTTCAAGACTGGTTGAGAAAAGACATTCAGAATTGTATAGGGCCAGGCACTGGGCTCATGCCTATTATCCTAGCTGCTGAGGAGGCTGAAATCTAAGGATCACGGTTCAAAGCTCAGGCAGGAAAGTTTGTGGGAGTCATCTCTGTAAGGTCCAATCCTGGATGGCAAGCAGACTCCACCCTCCTCTCAGCAAAGTCTCCACCCAGTACCTGCGTTACCTAGGCAACTGGCACACCTGGAAGAGGTCACATCTGCATCCACTGAGGTCACACCTGAATTTGATGTGGCCACACCTTTCTCCACCCATACCCTAGATAAGGCCTAGCCCAGGCCCAGACGCTCTCTTTCCTAGCTCTTTCCCAGCTCTCTTTTTCCCAGCTCTCTCTTTCCCAGCCCCTTCCCAGCTCTCTTTCCCAGCTCTTTCCCGGGTCTTTGCCAGCCACATTGAGTGCCAACCTGGACTGTTCCCAGCAGGTCTACTGAATAAACCTACCCCTTACCTGAATACCATGTGTGTGGTGCTGTTCTTACTCGGCAACCTCTTTTTAAAAACCTAACAATCTCCAGTTAGCCTCTAAAAAAACAGAAGTGACTCAAAATGGCAGAGTGCTAGCCTTGAGCAAAAGAGCTCAGGGATAGCACCCAGGCCCTGAGTTCAAGCCCCACAACCAACAACAACAAAAAAGTCTCAGACTTTCCTACTTTCCTACCTGGTCTGGCTTCAACAAAAATGTCTCAGACTTTCCTACCTGGTCCTACCTGGTCTGGCTTCAAACCTCAATCCTCTGATCTCAGACACCTGAGTATCCCGTGAGACTTATCTCCAATTAACCAGAAAACCAGAAGTAAGCCTGGCGCCAGTGGCTCATGCCTATATCCTAGCTACACAGGAGGCTGAGATCTGAGGATCAAAATCAGCCTGGGCAGGAAAGTCCGTGAGACTTTTTTTTTTTTTTTTGGTCGGTCATGGGGCTTGAACTCTAAGCCTGGGCTCTGTCCCTGAGCAATTCAGCTCAAGGCTAGCACTCTACCACTTGAGTCAGAGAGCCACTTCTGGCTTTTTCTGTTTGCGTGGTGCTGAAGAATCGAACCCAGGGCCTCATGCATGCAGGCAAGCACTCTACCACTGAGCCACCTTCCCAGCCCCAACTTTTTTTTTTTTTTTTTTTGGTCAGTCATGGGGCTTAAACTGTGGGCCTTGGCGCTGTCCCTGAGTTCTTCAGCTCAAGGCTAGTGCTCTACCACTTGAGCCATAACGTCACTTCTGGTTTTCTGGTGGTTAACTGGAGATAAGAGTCTCAGGGACTTTCCTGCCCAGGCTGGCTTTGAACTGCAATCCTCAGGCCTCAGCCTCCTGAGTAGCTAGGATTATACGGGTGTGAGCCACCGGCTCCTGGCCTCCATGAGACTCATCTCCACAAAGTCACCAGAAAACCAGAAGTGGTGATGTGGCTCAAATGGTAGAGCACTTGCTTGGAGCTGAAGAGCTAAGAGTCAGCACCCAGGCCCACAGTTCAAGCCCCCATGGCTGACAAAAAAAAGAGAAAGAAAAAGGAAGAAAGGAAGGAAGGAAGGAAGGAAGGAAGGAAGGAAGGAAGGAAGGAAGGAAGGAAGGAAGGAAGGAAGGAAGGAAGGAAGGAAGGAAGGCCAGAAGTAGAGCTATGATTCAAAGTGGTAGAGGGCTGGGGAGGTGGCTCAGTGGTAGAGCGTTTGCCTTGCATGCATGAGGCCCTGGGTTCGATTCCTCAGCACCACATAAGCAAAAAGAAAAAAGCCGGAAGTGGCGCTGTGACTCAAGTGGTAGAGCGCTAGCCTTGAGCTGAAGAGCTGAGGGACAGCGCCCAGGCCCAGAGTTCAGGCCCCATGACTGGACCGAAAAACAAACAATCAAAGTGGTAGAGTGTTAGCCTTGAGAAAAAAGCTTAGCAATAGGGGCTGGGAAGGTGGCTCAGTAGAGTGGTGGTAGAGTGCTTGCCTTGCATGCATGAGGCCCTGGGTTTGATTCCTCAGCACTACATAAGCAGAAAAAGCCAGAAGTGACACTATGGCTCAAGTGGTAGAGTGCTAGCCTTGAGCTGAAGAGCTGAGGGACAGCTACAACGCCCAGGCCCAGAATTCAGGTGCCACGACCAGCACAAAAAAAAAAAGCT